AAAATATACTTTATAGTTTCTGTACTGTAATATGTCAATTAGCACTGCATCATTCATAAATGTTATTTATTTATTGTGTTTATTGTCTTAACGTTTCAGTTCATTCTGCTTTTTATTCGGTTTAGCTGCAGATATAGCCTGGCACGTCTTAAGTTCTTTGAGCATGAGATCACTTCTCTTACAGTCATAAAATAAAATGCTATAGTATTTAACTTTTCCTCTCCATCGACGAATGATGATTCTGAAAGAAAACACACCCGATGTCTGTTTGCTATAGCAACGAATGCTACTTTCATGCATCTGATTAACAGATAAACCTCGCACTCTTATTTCAAGGTTGTTGTTAATGCTGTGGTTATTTTAAGTTTCCTTCATACATTCGGTTGAAGGACATTGTTAAAACACATTTATCATTCAGTGGAACTGTGCGTATGCTTTAGATGCTTACATTTTTGCTCCGTCCATGCAATAAACAGCCTTCGACTGCGCAGGTAATGTCGTCGGTATGACCGAGAGCTATTGCAAAACTACAGAAAAGTAAAACTACTTCACTTTAGCATTACTGGCCACGAGTACTAAGGAGAGATCACACATCAGTTGCTCAAAAAATGTGTCACACTGAGACGAACTGAGCACGAGCGCAGTCCTGTGACAGTCACTGCAGGCGGGAAATAGTGGAGCGCGTGAAGGAGAGATGCGAGGCACGAACACTGTTCAAGGTCTCCATTAATTCCTGCTTGTAGTAATTTAATGTGTATATATTTTGAAAGAATTGCATCGTTATAGAAATCGCGATTCATTAGATTCTTAGCGTTTTAAATCGATTAATGTCCGAAATAAACGATTCACGATTCAAAACTCCATGTTTCAAGATCGGTACATATGCATCGTCAGGGTTTGTAATCGATGCATCGAGAAAACGAGTGAATCGTTACAGCCCTAGAAAGTGCCCAAGCAACATTGCTCAAAAAAGTTGCCCCGTGTATCATCAGCATAAAACATTTTATTTTTATTTTATTTTTGTACATTTATGTCAAGTGTTATTTAATTATTTATGTACTATCAGTATTTATTAATATTTCAAATTAGTTTTATTTGTATATATTTACATTTTATTTGAATTTTAGTTTGTTTATGTGCTTTTGTCATTTTTATTATTTTTGTTGTTGTTGTTGCTTGTTTAAATATTTAGCTTTAATTCAGTTTCAGTTTTATTAAGTTTAGTATGTATATCAATTAGTTGCTAAGGCAAGATTCCTAAAGGGATGGTCGCACTAAACTTTTAATTCCATTGATTTTCATTTATTCGTATGTGAATGCTGGAGACTGGAAACACAAGCTCGTGCAAAAAAAAAAAAAGTGTATTTTTTTTGGTTTGCAATTTGCTGCTTTACAAAAGTCACTTTTAGTAAACTCTGACCTGTGAAATTTGTATTACTTGAAGACGTGACCATTAGAAGATCGATATGTCATGCCATGACCTCTATATAAATTAGATTATATATTTTTGAATATATTTATTTATATTTTTTATGGTGAATTTGTTTAAAAAAAATAAAAAAACATGCCACTGATCGTGACATCATATCATGACTATTGTAGTGTCCAAAGAAATTGTGTGCCCAAAGTCTAGTGTGACCATGGCTTAATTTTTATTTAACCTTTTCATATAATTTTAAAATTTTATTTTAGCATTATTTCAATTAACTAAACCAATTTTTAATAGCTGTAGTTAAAATAACTACACTGGAAATGTCAAATCAGCCCTGTTTGCCTTTTTTTTTTTTTTTTTTTTTCTGGTCAGTAATAATCTTAAATGAGTTTGATGTATAATGAATTTCCTCTTGTTCACTCTAGTTCATGGACCTGATTGAGGCTTGTGATAAGCAACCGTCTGTAGGTGAGCTGCTCAGTTCCTTTAATGAGCAGAGCGTGTCAGATTATCTTGTGGTCTATCTGCGGCTGGTGACCTCTGGGTACCTGCAGAGAGAGGAAGACTTCTTCCAGCACTTCATAGAGGGCGGCCGCACCGTTCGAGAGTTCTGCCAACAGGTGACGCTGAACAACGCATCATTTCTGACTGACTTGTGTTGTAATTTTGAAGTTGTGATTACATTTCAACCAGTTCTTGTAGAGTAAGCTGGTCTTCAATGACTTTGCAACATTTTAAACCAACATGTCATTCTGTTTTGGCCAGGAGGTGGAGCCCATGTCCAAAGAGAGTGACCACATTCACATTATAGCCCTGGCTCAGGCTTTAAACGTGTGCATCCAGGTGGAGTACATGGATCGAGGAGAGGGAGGAACAATCAATCACCACATCTTCCCTGAAGACGGAGAGCCCAAGATCTTCCTCCTCTACCGACCGGGCCACTACGACATCCTGTACAAATAACAGATCTGCACCTATTGCTGTTAAGGCCTCGTCTGTTTCTGTGCTGTGGGTTCTAAACTCTAAACCTGTGAAATGTGAACACGAGAGCCGAGCACTCAACTTTGCAATTTCCTGTCAAAACCCCCTAAAGACTCTTAAAGAATTTTGGAGAATCTGTTATAACAGGCACTGGACATTGTACAGTTTTCTTTGAATAAGCTGCATCTTTGTTGTGTATATACAGTATATGGTTATTTCATTTAGTTAGTTTTTTTTTTTTTTGGTTTGTTTCTTGTAGTTGGAAAAATGCCTGTCATTTGTGATAGGAATGGAATTGCTTTACCATGTTTGACTGTATTTGACTTTCATGAGAATAAAAAGAACTTGCAGTAGTCATAGTTTGGATAGCCACATTATTGTTTAATGTGTGTAGGTTTAAAAAAAAAATCCCAAATGGTCTTTATTTAAATCAAAAATGGTGTGTCCATGCTGCAATTTAAGCTGGACATGCACTGACAAAAACCCACGTGGTTCCTCTCACAGAAGACTGATGAAGGATCTTGCCCCAACTCCTTTGGCTGGCAGCACTTCCACAGAATCACAGAATGAAGGAGGGATGAAGACATTTGGGTCCTCGATTCCCTCCACTAGGTCAAAGAAGCTACAGAAAGAAGAAATGGGTTAACAAATCTTATCTTACATGTTGGTCTTTAGATGCATTTGAACTTAGTGACTTTTAATTTGATTCTAAGGCTTTATTGATCCATGGGGGTAATCAAGGTATTGAACATAAAACACATGGACAAAAACAAATGGGTGGTTGTATGAAATAATTGGTAATTGGAAGAAACACAAACAAGATAAACAAGAAAGAGTATTCCAATGGGTTTTATACACTCCCATTCTAAAAGTTTGGGATCATAAAGATTTTTAATTTAAGAAGTCTCTTATGCTCATCAAAGTTGCATTTATTTGATCAAAAATACAGAAAAAAATATAGTAATGTTATGAAATATTATTGCAATTTAAAATAACGGTTTACTATTTTAATATACTTTAAAACATAATTTATTGCTGTGATGAAATTTGAGCATCATTACTCCAGTCTTCAGTGTCATATGATCCTTTGGAAATCATTCTAATATGCCGATTAATTATCAATGTTGGAAAGTTTTTGCTGCTTAATATTTTTTTTGGAACCTGTGATATATATATTTTTTCAGGATTCTTTGATGAATAAAACGTAAAAAAAAAAAGAAAGAACAGCATTTATTTAAAAAAAGAAATCTTTTGTAATAATATACACTACTATTCAAATGTTTGGGGTTGGAGTAATGTTTTTTTAAAGAAATTCATATTTTTTCAGCAAGGATGTGTTAAATTAATAATAAAAAAAAAGTATAACAGGTTCCAAAAAGAATATTAAACAGCAAAACTGTTTCCAACATTGAAAATAAATCAGCATATTGAGCAATGATTTCTGAAGGATCATGTGACACTGAAGACTGGAGTAATGGAAGATGAAAATTCAGCTTAGTATCACATAAATAAAATATATTTTTTCAGTATATTAAAATGGAAAATTTTTATTTTAAATTGTAATAATATTTCACAAGATTACAGTTTTTTCTGTATTTTTGATCAAATAAATTCAGCCTTGAAACTTCTTTATAAACATTAAGAATCTTACTGATCCCAAACTTTTGAACAGCAGTGTGTGTCTATATATACTGTATATATATATATATATACATTGTCATTGGAAAAGAAATCAGATTTTTTCTCATGCTTGAGGAAATCTTGTACAGCATTCATGAAGCACACATTTTGTTTTATTTATGTGCATGTTATTCTTGCATGAAGACGGCCTTGATCAGAGGAAGAGGAAAGGCAATGTAAACACGTTTAATTGGTTAAGAGAGTCACTGTTGCATAATCTCCGTTGTTGTTCATCAGTACACTACAAATGTGGTTAGGTTAAGGACAAGATTGCAGACTAGATTACAGAAGTATTATCCATGGGTTTTGGGTTTTAATGAAAAGCAGAGTTAAACATGGTTACAGTATCTGTATGGGACAGGCCAGCCTTACTTTGTCTGTTCAGCCTACTTGACTAACCTTGTCATGACGCTTAATTCCCCTTTCTGTGTGAAATCGAGGGTGTAGAGAGGCACACAGCCAAGCGCAGTGAAGCTCAGCAGGTAGTGTTCTACAGAGAAAAATACCAAGAACATAAGCCAACTAGCAAGGGAAGGGAATTTTATATTGGTTTATTCAACCTAAAATGTTAAGCAACTTATCCATACACACGCATATAACACTTTACTTGAGGGACCAGTTCTCACTATTAACTAATTGCTTATTAGCATTATGCGTATTACAAACATATCGATTTACAAAACACATATTAATGCCTTATTCTGCATGACCATATTTTAGAGCCCTTAATTCTACCTCATACCTAAACTTGAAACTTAATAACTACCTTACTATCCACTAATAAGCAGCAAATTAGGAGTTTATTAAGGCAGTTAATATGTAGTTAATAATAGGAATGGAATATATAGATGTAGAATATTCAACCTAAAATGTTAAGCAACTTATCCATACACACGCATATAACACTTTACTTGAGGGACCAGTTCTCACTGTTAACTAATTGCTTATTAGCATTATGCGTATTACAAACATATCGATTTACAAAACACATATTAATGCCTTATTCTGCATGACCATATTTTAGAGCCCTTAATTCTACCTCATACCTAAACTTAAAACTTAATAACTACCTTACTATCCACTAATAAGCAGCAAATTAGGAGTTTATTAAGGCAGTTAATATGTAGTTAATAGTAGGAATGGAATATATAGATGTAGAAGTATAGACCAAAAACAGAAGACAAAATTACATCAGACTATTACAAAAGCATTAATTTTCCTGCAAGTTTTCATAAATTAAAATAAAGCTAAATGAACTCGGTTAAAATGTTCCCATCAGTCTTTAATTATTTAAATAATTTATTACATTGAATTGTTTATTATATTAATGATTATAGTGTGGAAATATTAGTCTTCAAAGTTGAAAACAATTAGAAAGCTAAAATAATTGTTACATTTTTACGATTAATCACGATTAATCGCATTCAAAATAAAAGTTTATGTTTACATACTATATGCTATATATGTCTACTGTGTACAGTATATATAAATATACACACATATGTAGGCCTATATATAAAAAAAATATTTGTATGTATATATATTTATACTTGTATATCCTTTATATTATATATAAATTATATTTTCTTACTATATATATGTATGTGTGTGTATTTATATATACATAAATATACACAGTACACACACATAGTATGTAAACAAACTTTTATTTTGAATGAGATTAATTGCGATTAATCGTTTTGCAGCCCTAATTTTTATACATTTGTGTTATAGCCAGTGCTGGGTGTTAAAAACCTGACTGAGAATCATCATGCAGCATAACGGCGCACATTACCTTGTGTTTCCTCCACTGTTCCATTCCAGTTATTGACCAGCAGTCCTTGTCCTGGTAAAGAGCTGCTACCCAAGACCATTTGATTCAGGAAATGGGCATCATGGGGAACACCAATATGTCTGAATGGTTCCTTTAATGCTGTTTTAATGCAAGTTTGGTTGTGGTAGTGGATCTCATAGCTGACTCCCTGTTTAGAGGAGAGCAAACTCTGAGTCACATTAGCAAGAGTCAGCAACCCGATGCATTTTACAAAATGTATGCTTTGCTATTTATCCCTAAACTGTGGTACTTTACCTCTCTGAAGAGCAGAAGCCTGTCAACAAAGAAGGTCTGGTTGCCTTCCTTTCCAGCTGCAAGAACTCTGACATTCTGTCCGAAGGCATCATAGGAGAATTTCTCAAAAACACGTAAGTGGTGCCCAGGGATGAACTGTGTTGGAGAGAAAGCGAGAGAACACTTTCACATAACTCACAGTTAGCATTTGAATGAGGTAGTTTTGTTTTTGTAGAGATAAGCCAACTAGTAAAGGAAGTAAGAGCAAACTTTATATTGGTACATTCAGGCCAAAATGACAAGTTTCTCTGATGAACTTTCTCTTTTTTCAGACAAAATTGTTTAATATGCTTGTCAAGATGGCCCACTTACCGCAGTCAGTGTCCCCTCAAGCAAAGGTGGAGACTCTGGAAGTCAAGAGTGAGTGAAAAGGAGCAAACAAGCATAAATACATTTTTCATTCTTTCAACTGCTAAAGCTCTATAAAGTTTACTACAATGTGTAGGCAAAAGACAACAGGTCTTACTGCAGGGTTCAGGCTTCTGTGCACAGCTGCTGAGAATCAGGCTCAGGCAAACTGGGATCAGAAACAGGATCTTCATTGTTATTGTGGAGTGCTGGCAAACAGGAGCCAAAGCAACTAGCAGCAGTGTTTCCAAGTCCGGCCCTTCTTATATCGTCAGTTCCGGATCACCACTCCATGTTTTCAGTCTCACTGGGCCTTCTGAGTGTCTGGCCAGTGCTTCAGTCCAATAGGAGTCTTAAAGGTGGCAAAACAACTTAACTGTATGTAATACTTGGAATATCAATCCTAATGTGAGTGCAAAATAGAATGAAAATTCAATATTTTTGAAGTTCCAATAATAGGAAATACTGTCAGTTGTCTCTGGAGATGATGGGTGACAGGTAAAACCTGAACTGGAGTACAACTCACCTTAGTCACATGATGAAGACTCAGCATATTATGATCTCAGATTTGCTTGCCACAGGTCAATGTTCAAGTGCAGGTGCTAGTCATATAATAATTTACTGAGAAAAACAAGATCATCTGATGATATTGAAAACTAAAATAAATTGTTGTTGCACTCAGCAAAAACTGACACAATCTGATGATTATAACTTTCCAAAAAGGATATATCTGCTAAGAAAAACATTCTAAATGATCCTAAGCAGATTTGCTTTTCTCTCTGCCTGGCACAGGCTGCTGGCTTGCTGGTTTTGGTTTTGGGCTAAACCCAAACCCAGCTAAGACCAGCAAATCATCTTATAATTATTTTAATCTTTTTTTTTTTTTTTTTTCCAGCAGGAAACTTGTGTTAACAGCTCTTATTATATGGCTTTCTAAAAGACTTGATTCTGATTGGTCAATCACAGAAACCAGCCATTTGATGTTTTCTAAAATTCACGGCTGTACCAAGAAAATTAAAGTAGCAAAGAAAACAAAAAAAGCAAAACTTCATACATCTTAATGTAACTTAAATACCTGTGCCATTCCACTGCCAATGTAAATAACATTCTGACTGCTGTCCATCTGAAGTTTACTGGGGTAAGTAAGGGTGAATCAAGCCTCAGCATGTTGAACACATTTTAGTGACTGCACAAGGC